TCCTTTTTTCCTGTGTGCTCAGTGAAGAATTTCAGAGTCTCGCATGAAAGGCTTGGTTTGGAAATACCAAGTGTATTTGGTATTTCCAAATAACACTACTACTACAGCTCAAACACACTACGACTGCAAAGCACTGACCTTGCAGGAGGATAAAGGAATTCACCCTCAGCATTAAGCTGTGCCATGGGGATGACTGGCATTCACTCATGGGTGTATTTCTAAGGAAAAATCAGGGAGGGCTGGGTTTCCTTTTTGTTCTGTCCTTATCTCACACCAGCCAGGTCTCCTGCAGAGACCTGCTCTTCTGCCTTTTACTTCCTGCACCAACTACACAAATCCCTGCATGATTCCAAGTGTTTGATGGGCACTTCCCTAATGATTATTTGGTGGTGCTATGGCTTAGCAGGGTAAGGAGGTCAGTACTGGTGGTTTTCTTTCCCTCTCTCTGCTTACAACCTGCCCCATTTTCAGAGACAATGAGCACCTTCATCCCGGTCCCCACTGAATCGTACGGGAAATGAGAGGGAATGGGGGGCTGATATGAGGCCATGGTGATGCTGGAGGGATGACCTCAATGGTGGGGCCACCATCTTCCTATTATAAAGAGTACATGTCACCCAAAGAGGGGACAAAGGCAGGGGTTGGGCCACTTTGTGAAATCTTTCCCTAAATAAAATCCTGAAACAAGGAAAGCCATGATAATGCCAAGCCTGTGTGATCTGCAAATGTCTAGGGAGAGGGAAAGGAAAAAACAAAAGAACACAGACACCACAGCAGTGGTCTGCAGGGATTTCATGAGCTGACACCAGGCTGAGCCAGATCTCCCAGGAGCACAGTGGGAACACAGCTGTGTGGCTTCCACACCCCAAACACAGACAGGTCAGTGCAGGGGCAGCAGAGGCATGAAAACAGGCATGAAAACAGGCGCAGCTTGGCTCCCCTAACCCACTGCTGCCTCTTGGACTGTCTGAACAAGCAGCACCAGATCTCTGCATCCTCCTGGGCCCTGATCCACTCCTACCCAGCTTCTGTCCTGCTGCCAGAATGGGGTGACACTACATGAGCAGGACTTGGCAACTGAAGGGTGGCCAGGGAAGACATAAAATATGAGAAAATTAGGGAGGGGTTGCAAAGAAGAGATAAACCTGACAATGTGGGGGGAACCTGGAAATTAGTAGTGGTCCTAACCAGCATCAGTGCTGATCTGTTCTAACCAAAAACCAAATGGCAAATTAACTCCCTCCTTTTGTGGTTTATTTTGAAACCTCTGTGGCCTTGAATATGATGTTTGTGAAGCAAAGACCAAGCCAGGGGGGATCCCAGACAGGGGGGGTTGAAGACTAATACATAAGAAAGAGGTACAGTTTAGGATGTGCTTCTGCTTTCTTTGCTTGATCCCAGACCTTTGCCCACCACAAACTGTGGTGTTGATTTCCCAGCACCTCAGAGGCCCAATTTGCCCATCCCTTTATGCATTACACTTAATATTTCTAATGAGCAGCCACCTGTAAAGGCCTGGAATCAGCCCACTGTGCAGGTGAACAAGGATCTGGGCAGAGTTTGGCACCTGCCCCAGTGCTGGGTGTCTCTAACATTGCACATCTACTTGTCCAGCAAGGACAGGGAGGAAAAGTGGTGCTCTTTGCCTATAAATGCCTTGTCAAGCCCTGACTCCTTTAGGGGATTATATCCAGAATAGCTTGGAGATTTGTCTTCCACAGTTTAGTGCAAAAAGTACCTAAGGATGCCTTTGAGAAAGATAAAAAATCAGTTTAGAGACCCTGGATTTTCCAAAGAACTTCAAAGGGGCCTCCGGGTTTTTACCCTATTCTTACAATTTTGTTAAAAATAGCAAGGACTGTTCAGTGTTAGGTGTCCTGCACAAAAACCAAAGATACCTTCTCTAAAGTTAGAGAGCTAGAAATCAGGATTGTAAATATGTTTCTCAATCCCCTACCAGTAAATGGCCCAGATGTCCAGAAGTGCTGAGCAGTCGTGGCTCACATGGCAGAGCCAAGACTGTGCTATGTAGTCTGGCAGCAAAATGAAGTGAGCCACAAACCTGGAAGACAAATGACCCAATTTTTTTATAAACCATGATTTCCTGACCTGGCTGTTCATGACAGCAAAAAAAATTCATGTGTGTATCTAAAGCTTGCATCTTGAAAAAAATTCAGGCTGGAAAATTGACCATGAAAATGTGAAGGGAGAGGGTTGAGGTTTCTCCTCCCTCCAAGATGACTAATGCAAAGTTTTCAGGACACCAACAGAAAGAACTAAGAAAAACAACAGTGAAGTGCCACAGCAGTCATATTGCACACAACTGATGCACAGTAGTAACCCACAAACCTCCTTCAGAGGCTGGGAGGGAGCAGGTGGCAGATGAGCCAATGTTTTTGTGCTGTATAACCTCTCAAGTGGAGCAACAGTCATCAGGCTCCAAGAATATCAGCAGCTTCCCTCAGCACAGCAGAGAGAGTGAGATCTCTTGCCGGCAGGCTGTTGAAGCACACACAACACGTTTAAGATCCCTGAGATAAGTAAACCTGACAATGCCATATTTTGACTGGAAAGAAGCCTCCAGCATTAGAAGAAGTGGTGAAAGGATGTATTTCCTTCATCCACCTCCTCCCCATTCTGCAATCTCTGCAAATTTTGGGAGCCACGTGTAAATTTTGAGCATTTCAATGTGCTGTAAAAACAGAAGAAGCAAAAGCCGGAAGTACTTGAGAAATGGGACAAAGGCTGTTTTCAAATCAAACAAGAGAGAAATCACAACACAATTTCTGAGAGGATCAAAGGAATATTTATGTCACCCTTATGATGTGCACTAAGAAGCCTTTTGGGAAGCCCTTGTGGGTCACTGCAATTTGCCATCTGGCTGACATGATATTTTTTTTCCAGGTATATCTCTTACCAGCATTAGATGCTGTTTTATCTATGAGCACTGAAGTAAAATGAGCCTTTCCAGAAACACTGCCATCTCTGTTTCTCAGCAAGCCAACCAGACCTCCCAGCTCTATTCCCACTCTCCCTCTGTGCTTCCACTTTCACTGACCTTCTTCAGTTTGCCTTCTTCCCCAGTCTGGCCACCAATCAGCCTTCCACTGATTCAGCTCCCTGTCTAATCACCTGCTCCTATTCACCACCTTTGTGCTGCTTGATTCATGCTCTGACAGCACAATCCAGTGCTCCAGAAGAACTGTCAAAGATCCTGCTTTCTGGTCCTTTTTAGCATCCCCTACCTCTGTGACAACAGCAGCCTGACTGCTCTTCCTCTGCACAAGAAATAGCACATGAGTCATCTGGAGAGGATAAATTAGCCCCATGCCAGAAATACCCTGCCTGGCCATAGGGTTGAGCTTTCTGCCAGACCTCAGCACCACTGGCAGAGCATGACAACATCCTAACAATGATAATAATTAATTAACAATCTTTCACGCTGAACCTCTGGATTTGTACAGCTTCCTGATTCTGGGAAGCCAGGATCTCAGCAATGCCCACACCATCTGTCTTTTGTCTGCAGGAGAATTTATCCCTGTTTTCAGAGGCCAGCAAGGAAACTGGGTCTGTTTAGCATTCTCACCTAGTTACAGTCAGTACTGTCTGTGCTGCTACTGCAAATAAATATGTGCCTTTTGCCTAGACTTCAGGAAAGATGCTGTGTGACAATTTTTTTTTTTAATATTCCATTGAAAAACATGATTACTTCAAATCCAGGGAACGTTTTATGGGGACTTCCAGCTTCCTTAATTGGTAAATAATGCTACATGTGCCTTTTTTATTGTTAGTGACGTATCTTTTGTTGCAAGAAATGGCAACAATGGTTTAAATGCTTGATCCAGAGGGAAGTGGGAAGTTTCCAGCCTCACACCTCAGTCTGATCTCCCTCTTTATCGTGTTGTTTCCTCTGTACTGCCTAACATGGTGGGAGTGTTCTCACATTACAGGCTTTCCTGATGAATAGGTCAGGCCGGAGTGCAGGAACCATGAGCCACTGGAAAGGATTTGGGATGGAATACCAGAGAACTGAGTCAGTCCATTCCTGCATCCCACTTCAAGTAAACCTCTTCTCTTGGCTGCCTCTCAGCTTCTTCATATAAGCAAATTATGGATCACAGCCTTCTCTGCTCCTAGCCAGGTACATGTAGCTGCAGGGATGAAAACTCTGTCTCCTGGCCAGTGACCCATGAGTGGGAACACTGCCGTCCTCCACACTGAGAAATTCACAGAAATTTGGGGGAGAGATGAAAGCAGAAGCAGGAGGTCCCCAGAAGTTTGGACCCTGGTGGCAGGCAGCAGAGTGGGAGAGGACGAGAGAGCAAGGGAAGTAAGGAGATTGGAGAGCATTGAGCAGAGCGGGGGTGGGACAAGCAGGAGGCATGTCACATCCACAGGCATCAGTGACACTGTGGCTGTTCTTATGAACAGGGGTTAAAGGGAGGAATTAGCTGGGAGCAAGAACAACAGGTCAGGACAGAAGGGAAGGAACATCAGTTGTTCACGCAGAAACCAGTTTAGGACTGGTTTGGGTTGTGAATTTTCTCATTCTTTATCCCATTTGGTTTTAAAAAATCCTGTCCTTATGATTTCCCCTGGAAAAGCAGTCAACAATACAGCAGCTGACAGAACATCTTTCCTGAGACTGAGACTAAACTTTCCTTTTGTCCCAGCCTTTGCCTCCTAGATGCTCGTGATGTGCCATGTGAAACACTCCCTCCTTTGCCTCTGCCTTAATACTCTGAAATGCCAGCAGGCTGGTCCAGCCTCCCACTGCTCACTTCTCCAGCCCCTCCTCTTCTAACAAAACAATGCTGATGTCACTTCTCATCCATCTCTTCTGCTCAACCAGACAGGGAACCCAGGGACAGCAGTGCAAGAAGCCTTGCTGTGGCATTTCCATTACACACCGTGCTAATAAACTGATGGCATCACCATTGGCATGGTGTTTTCTAACCTGAACAGTTAGCTGAATGCTCTTCCTTTTTTCTCTATTACAGGCAAAAATGGGCTTCTGTCTTTTACTATCGAGCACGAATACCCAGCCTGTAACCTAAAGACACACTGTGGGAATGGAAAAGCAGCAGATGAAGGTGGTCTTTTGCTCAGAGTTTCTAATGTCCACCTACCTTGCACCGAGACAAAAGGCTCCCCTCTAGCATTTTCTGGGGGTTACGCTAGCAGTCATACTTCTGTGCCTGTTTTTAATCTTCCTTGACACTTCCGCAGCAATGCACATGCCCTGAAGACTTAACTTGTCCCAGCTGAGCTGTTGCAGAACTCAAAATGTGAAAACAAGATAAAAAAAACCCTGCTGTCTCCCTTGACAGTGCAGGCTTGCTGCAGCCCCTGATGAAAGTACAAACAGTACAAAGAGATACCCAGCCAAGTGAATAACTGCTTCAGCTGGGGACTAGCCAGAACTACAAGTAAACATTTGGGCTGGAGACTAGAAAATCTATGCTGTGAAGGATGTTACAGGCCATTGTCTGGATACTGCCGCTGGTGTTTAGGAGAGATGAGGTAAGTAACTGAAACGGGGAAACCAAAGTAAAAGTAATGGTGTCCCAAGAAAGGTCCTAATCTGATTAATGTTGTGTTTGGCTCCTGATTCCCTTCTTCTCTTTCAATGTGTCAGGTGATGGGTTAAGGGGTGGGAACCTGATCCTGAGAGTTCCTTTTGGCAGAGGAAATCAGGGCAGGTTTTTTGGTGAGCATGTTCTGGGAGGTGTAAGGATTTTTGTTTCCCTGACAAGGAGCAGAAGGGAGAAGAGGGAGAGCTTGTGCCTGGTCAGCCCTCACCGGACTCCTCTTCTCCTGCTCCTGCACACTCTGCCACCCTCAGTGGGGAGAGATAAAGAGAGCAGGAGAGAGACAGCTCATTTCCCAACACTTGTTTCATTCAAACAGCCTTATTTTTGGTAATGTTACACCAAAGCTGCAAACAACTCAAGTGGCAGATGGTGCTAAAACTCTGTCCTGGGAATGTTCCCAGCTGGAAAGATATCACAGGACTCCAGCCCACCAGGGAGACAGCAACGTCGGCATAATAGCGCTGGAGCAGAGCAGTGCCTCACCCGCCCAGCAGCCTGTCCCAGACAGTGACCAGGGCCAGGTGCTCCAGGGGAAGGGAGAAAATACCCCCACATCCCTATTTGCCCAGCATGATGCAAGGAGGGAAGCCCTGTCTTGTCAGACACTGTGCTGGGCATGAAGAGAGAAGGCCCTTGGGACCCCACTCTGCCTAGTGCAGACACTGGGGCAGCTTGGTGGCCAAAAGCAGACACACCATGGCCCCAGGTGTGAGCAAAATTGCTGAAAAGGGGTCAAAATTGAGCAGAGGGTGGCTACCCCAACCCAGGAAGTGTCCAAAGCCAGGTTAAGGATAAGGCCTTGAGCAACCTGGGCTAGTGGGAGGTGTCGCTGCACATTGCAGGGGGTTGTGACTGGATGATCTTCAAGGTCCCTTCCATCCCTTAACATTGTGATTCTGTGAGTCTATGATTTCTGGAGACCAGGTCATTCTCCAGTAACTTGGCAGACATGGGGCTGTTTCGATGGTAGGGATGCTACAGAAATTGTAATTCTTCTGGCTGGCCAAAAATGAAAACTGCAGTGGGAATTCCCTACGTTCCTGTCAGACTCAGGTGACCAAGCAGGATTTCTTCTGCCTGTCAGAGTTTGTAGCTTGTACAAGAAGGCAGGTCACTCTTCACCATGTGCTTCTCTCGCTTTATACCCTTTTCTGCCCGTGCTATTCACACTAGCTTTGAGGAATTCAGTTTCATTTCCAAGTCCCTCAAAGGCCTAATCAAGGAGTGTAGTACAGGCTCCAAACTAGAGTGTCTCTTGAGTTAAGGCTGTCTCCTATGTTTATATGGCACATTTCACTCCATCTCACACAGAACACAGCCCTTTTAGAAGAAACTCAGTCTGTGAGAAATACCATATCTACTCTGCTAAAATATGGCCCCTTCTTAAGTGCAGACATAAAGTCAAACAGAGCTACAAACACTGACCAAAAACTTTTAACCCAGATCCCATGGGTTCTAAGAAATCATGTTTATAATGTATGTAATAAACACCAATCCTTCCCTTTTGGGCACTATGTTTAGCGAGTAGAAAAACATGTAATTCCAGGACAACTACAATGAGAACATTTCTCGGCGTTTTAGATCAGAGGATAAGTTGCTATAGAACATTGGCTGTGTGCACACCAAGTATCCTTATCCCCTTATCACTTAAAAACCTCATTCAGAGCATTAGTGTTGGCCCAAGTTGCCCTATGCAGCATCTTAATTATAATTTAACTAAAAATCTATTTAGCTCTTGAGGTTGTAGAAAATATATTTAATGAGGTTTAGCTAGGCTCATTTGCGTGATTACAGGTAACTTTGGCCAAGCACAGTTTGGTCTTACAAATCCAGGATCACAGCTGAACAGTCAATGAAATTTATCCTCACCAACCCCAAACATCCCCTCACAGCTTTGGCACATTTGGTGTAAGGGGAAACAAATTTAAAAATTATGTTTTGTGAAAACTAGCAGCTGAATAAAGGAAATGCCCCAAATTAAAGCACAAGTTCAGAAGGCGAACAGAGCTCAGTCATGTATTCTAATCTAGTGGCATCCAGCTGGTTAGGCAAGGCATGCACAGTTTGAGCCGTGATTGTGTGTGTCACAGCTCTCTGGGCAAGAGGGTGGGCAAAGGGCTCAGATCCTTAAGAACCAGGCTCATCACTTCTGACACTTGTGGAACATCAGTGGCACTGGTGTCCATCTGAGAGAAAATGACTGAAACCCCCTGTTTTTCCACATGCTTCAGGTTCCTAACAGCTTTCGGAGAGTGGGTAAAAAAGGGCCAGAAATACTGTCAGATTAGGAGAAAAGAATGGTTGGAGTCAGACTGAACCTTTGATGATCATCTAGTCCAATCCCCTCTGCTACAGTCAGAGATGTCTTCCATTAAACCAGGCTGATCCAAGTTCTGCCCAGCCTGGCCTTGAACACTTCCAAGAATGGGGCATCCCCAGCTTCTCTGGGAAAATATGAATGTTGTATTAGAAACAAATAGAAACTGTGGACTTCCTCTCACTGCAAGACAAGCATGGGACAGAGCCTGCCTGGAAAAATTTCTCTCCTACCACTTGATGCTTTTTTCCAGCTGTCCAGCTTTAGTGAGACTCTCTGGATCTCCATAATGTTTAAACTTGCAGATACCCTAAAAGCTTTCTTTACAAAACCAATTTATATAAATTTGGTGTTGCTGCATCTGCAGAGCTCACTATGAACATTACTCAGTAGTTTCCACCATATTAGAATGAGTTAAATTTTAGGCTACAAGATTGAAGTGAAGGTAAGAGTATTTTTAATAAAGAAACAAAAATGTAAGCTATAGCTGATGTCATTCCCCTGCTCCCTTTTATCCTGGTCTCCTGAGGAGGCAAGGCCTAAGAGGTCTGGCAGTTGTCCCCTAATCACTTTTAAGCTCACGGATCAGAATCCACCACCTTTGAGGAGCAATGGGTCATGCCAGTGCCCAGGCCTCTTTGGGTATTGTATCTATTCCTGATGTACATGCTTTGTCATCTGGCAATGTCTGGGAGATTGCACACCCCTTTCCATGGTGTGCCCAGCAGAAAACGCCTGGACTATAGAGCAGCTAGAGTTCCTGCTGTCCAAAAATGAGAAGAAGAAAAGAAAAAGCTCAGAACCACTGTGTTTCCATCTCCTGTTCACATCTTCGACATCTCTGCACAGGAGTGAGTGAAGGCAGGTGGAGTTGCAATAAATAGCTCAAGAACTCCTCTCCACAAGTACACTATCAATTTACACAGTTTTGTTGCATAGTCTTGCTGATTGTCACTTGAGAAAAAGCTGACCTGAAGGCAAGAGTGGCTGAATTTTGCTGCTCAAGGTCTGAGGGCCAAAGTTTGTTTCAAAGGTGGCACTGAGCAGCTCCAAGCATCCCCTTCAAACACTCACAGTCCCAGGGAAGCCCTGTGTCCATGGGCAGAAGAGAACTTTGCCTTTTTTTTCCTGGTTCTTAGCTGTCCTGCCAGGGAGTCCAGGACAGGTTCAATGAAGGCTTTTTCCACCTCCCTCCCAAAGCAGAGGCTGTGCTTTTACATTTACTACCCCTCCACATGAGCGTGCATTTTTCCTCTACTCCATACAGTGCAAGCTTTCCCTCCATTAGCATTTCTATTACATCTACAGAAGTATTTTTAATATTTATAGCTACAACCTTCCTCTTTGTTTTATACCTACACTTTCTTTTTCAGTATTTGTTCAGGGATATGTCAACAGGCAAAGGCCAGGTAACTGCAGCATCCCCAAAATGGGGTACACTTGCTCAGAAATATATTTAGCTATATTTTCTATAGGCTAACTAAATCACACTCTTCAGAAGGCAAAAGTATCTTTGTTTCAATAGGTGAAGAACATTGCAGATATGAAAACTAATGGGGATTCTGTTTCTGGGGTGGGTAGGGGGAGTAGAAAGTTCTACTTCCTCAAAATATTAGAGGTTTTAGACTGAGTTTTAAATACAGGAGGATAAATGGAGTGTGAAAGATTGCCTAGCCCCTAATTTTTCCTGTGTTTATATCTGGGGTTTATGTTATAGTCAATACTCTTAAGCCTATTTGAAAATTAACCTCCAGTGAACAGGTGAATAGATAATGGAGTGGTGATTCCTCTGTCTCCATTTATCTTTTCACTTATAGAGTTAATTGAAAATAGGAACTAACTCAGTGCCATTTTTCAAGACACACACTATTAGAAAGCACTGGCGTCATGCTGCAGTTTGTCTTTTGGTTCACTGGTGCTTCATAAAGGCTACAAGTTGCAGAATATATAAGCCCTTAGCTTCACCCAGAGACCAGAACTGATAGAATAACCTAGCTGTCTCTCTTCACTTTTATCACACTTGCCTTAAATTAACAATCCCTTCGCACCAAACCTGCCATCTTTCTTCATTTTGCTTTGGGTTTTGGTCTGAGTTGTCACAAAATACCCAGGAATAAAAACACTTTACTTTTTAATTATCATTTAAATTTTATTGGTGTAAGAAATAGGAAGCTGAAAACTCTACCCAGACAAAACTGGGAAGAAAAAAGGGTGGAAGCTGAAAACTCTACCCAGACAAAACTGGGAAGAAAAAAGGGTGTTTATAAAGATCTACTGTGTTCGTGCCCCTGCCTTTCTTAGTCTACATTTCCCATCTAGAACTATGAAGGCAGCATCACATCTCAAAGTGACAATCCCAATGGATCAAAGGGCATGAAGGAAGCAACTGGTGTGACTGGAAGAGAGACACATCCATTCAGCCTTCTTTCTGCTGCAAGCCCCTGCTTCCTCCCCTCGTCCTCCCTATTGCCATGAACTGTCAGGCAGTAGCTGTGTGTCAAATCAAAAGCAAGAGAAATCAAAGCATGAGTGATTCCAGACATTGAGAATGGATGGCAATCCTAGCTCAGGGAATAATCCTGTAGGGAGTGATCCACTGTAGAAAACATTGC